TAACACTGGACCTCCACTTGTCTCACCAACACTATCTCAAAGGTCTGCCGGAAATTGATTTCCTCATGGATCCAGGGAAGGGATGGAGGCCTGGGACAGGAAGCAGAGCTCTTTGATAGAAAGCTTTTGAGTTAAGTCATGGAACGTTTACTCCATTGGAAACATTCTCTCTGTGACTGAGCTGACAAGAAGCTGAGGTCCTGTTATAAGACAATGCAGATGACTATGCTTTGGGAGAAGCACAGAAGAGGTGGAGATCTTGGATTCTTGCTGAAGGAGGAGATGGCTATGGTGTGAGAGAGGACATGAGTTCTGACCAGCTGTAGGGCACATCGTAGAAAACATTGCAGGAAAAATCTGAATGAGGTTTTAAATGTAATATCCATCCCTAAGAATCTCTTCTATCCTGAGAGAAAAGGCAGAAATGTTTTCCTTTCATTTTAAGCCCTAAGCAAGTGATTCACTCCAAAAGGCACCATATTTTTCTCTAAAAATATATTTTATATATCAAATGAAAAATTGCATTGCAATGAAAATAAACTACCCTAAATTGTGGGACTTTGTGTCATGACCTGATTAAAGGAGAGACACAAGAGACCTTGGCCTCTATTTTTTTTAAAGTGACTCTATTACTCAGTGCAGAGGCATCTAATACCAGAATAATTTAACACTATTTCAGAATATAGCCTCTTTGCATGTGTCAGACACCCAGGAGTGTTCTGAGGTCCTTTGAAATCTTCATTTCGAAGCGCACATTATAATTTCCAGGCCTAACACCCTTAGTATTCCTGTTTATTAGGGACATATGGGTGTGACTTGTATAGCAGAAACACAGCAACATTAATGACTCCTCCTACCACAGGCTCAAAGTGATGTTCATCACTATTACGCCCTTACACACAGAAAGTTGAATAACATGCCTTGTTGTTATTGCTTTTGTACCATATCCAAAACGAAGCCTATGCCTGCAAATAAGGGGAGGTACAGTACATTGCAAAATGATCGATTATTGACCCGGGTTTGTGCTTCCCTCAGACAATGTTTCACACGAAAATTCCCGAAAAGTTGCCAAAATCAAGTAAGACAAAAGCCAGGATGAGCGTCTCTGAGAGGCCCTCTCGGGTGTGGGACATATTTGAAGAGGCGAATGGAAGTGTCCAGTGGTTTTCAGGTTATTGTCTGGCATGAGGAGTCATTCTCTGTCTGACCTTCACCTGAATTGCCACAGAGGCGAACGGAGGCACGGCTGCTCTAATTGCAAAATTCAGGGTGGATTAGCTGAGGCTCCCTCTGATCTGAGCATTTCAAGCACTTTGCAACCATTCGTTAAGTTGCATATGACCAACGTGCAGCATTGTTATAGGAGTAGCTAGAAAACTGGGATCCTCAGGGCAGGGAGTGGGTGGTGTGGGGGTGCAGGTGTTAGCACATGGCCTTGGGAATGTGGGGGGCTCAGGGCAGGAGGCTGGAGGGAGTGGGGGTTGCAGGTGTCAGAGAAGGGGCTCAGGATAAAGAGCTGGGGATGTGAGCGGTGCAAAAGGGAGGGCTGGGCATGAGGAAGGGCTAGAGGCGGAAGGTGGGGGATGCAGGAATCAGGGCAGAGGATTGGGAGAAGGGGGAGCTTAAGGCAGGGGATGGGGGTGGCCCCTGACTTCTCCCCTTTGTTGCCCAGGGCAACTGAGACTGCCCAACTTGCTTGGCAGCTTGTCCCCAGTGGGGGCAATGCACCCCACCTTCTGGCTTCTCCAGGAGTCATCCAGGGGGAGGGGCCTGGCTGAGGCTTTCTCGCTCCCACCTCCCCCATGGTGGGGAAGGAGAACACGGGCTTTCTGGTGTCCCCCTCCCCCTCCTGCCCCATGAGAGTTTGGGGGAGGCTTTCTCCGTCTCCCTTTCTCTTACCGGCCTGGGGGGTTTCTGGTGGGGCCGTTTCCCTCTCCCCATCCAGCAGGGCTTCTCCCCCAGACACACACTTTGGTGCTACAGCCAAAGGCGGGGGGAGGGGTTTGAAGCAGGTGGGCCTTTTACCCAGTCCAATGGCCAGCAATATGGCAAGCCCCTTCCCCGGCTGGCCACACTCTTGGTGCTGTGGCTGCCCCAGTAGTCGCTCTGCTCTACAGCTGACCCCTGCGCTCACTGCTCCCAGTGGTTATGGTGAGTACAGCATCCCTCCACTCCGCCACCTCCCATTCTGTGTGGTGGAAAACAGTCCAATTCCAGGCACCTCCCTTTTCCCTGGCACAACCAAACCCTGACCTTGCTTTAAGTTAGGAGAAGAAGAAGCTGCCTCCCAAGTGTGGTGGTCCTAACTTTTACTCTGTAGGAGGATTTCCTGAACAAACGGACTCACAGACAGATGGAAAGATGGACAGACAGAGGCACGTTTTTAAAATATATTGATAGATGACATGTATTGGGATTATGTATTCCAACGACAAACATTAGATACACTTTAACAGTGGATGTCAAAGTCTAAGATGTCATAGCAGGATTCAGTTCATGATTCCTAGCCTCTGAAATTGGGACCCTTTCATTCTCATCCAACGTACCTTTGCAACATAGCCAGGATAGGTTAGAGAAAACTGTGTTGGGAGAGTATCCGTCTGTTGCTCCGCCTGCAACTGCACTGCTCCTATGGACAGTGAAATCACTGGGAACCGTCAGCTACTGCATCTCCGTTCATGAGCAGACAAGAGAACTTGCTCCTGTTGGAGAGTCATCTCATAAAGGAATGGAAGAGAGGTGTGTTGTGGAGTACTTGGGCAGTGGTCAGTTGGCTGTGAGGTGAGACTGGAGTCCTTCCAAATTGACCAACCTAAAGCCTTTTGCAAGTCCCTTCTCCGACAGAAAGCTTTTCAGACATAATTAGAATGAGTTTGACAGTGGAAAACAGAGCCCCAAAGCCATTTCCATTAACCTGAGCAGTAAGGATGCTTTCCCTCAATTTTATACCATGGAACCTCACAGAAGTCTCTGGAACATTGCTGATGTGTAAATTCATCAAATCTACACTTTGGGGGCATCTAATTCCAGGAAAATATTCCCCTATTAAATTCAAATAGAACAGGAGCCCTAAGGTGAATGGTGCGTACACATGTATTGATATTAATGCCTCTCTCCAGTGTTAGACAAGTGTGAAAAGAATTTAGTGTCAATTAGAATCCAGATAGGTTGTCTTCTATCCTTGAATATGGACAACTTCTTCCTGCCTTTTAACTTTGTAACAACAGCGGCATACGGGAGAAGCTCTGACCTTCAGCTTTCATTGAGTTTTGTTTTCATCATGACTGTCCCGGAATAACACGTAATTTAAAAAATGCCTTGTGGATTCCATTGTCCAGAGCTCTGGTTGCTCTAAAGAAGTGAGAAAACTGAGAAGAATACATTCCTTTGGAGTGAGGAATAAGAGATGGGCCTTCATGGAAACATCAAAATTTACTCTTGCTACTCTGTTGTCTTTCACTCCTCTTTATTAAGACCCTTTTTTGTACTTTTCTTCATTATTTGAAATTCGCATTTATCCTACAACTGACTATCGGTCTTCTGGTATTTAATTTCTTTACTTTGAGCTCTTTGGATCTTCTCCCGTCAGGGATCCAAAGTGAATGGCCCCTTAGCAGGGAGGTTGTCATGGCTGAAACCAGAAGTGAGATCACTGGAATATTTGCTGATTTCACCCAGGCCCAGTCATGTTGGAGCTGGATCATGGCATGAAAAGCTCTCACTGGATTCAAAGAAGAAGAATTGCTTGGCCTTCCAATTTTATTTTTAAAAAGGAACAGAAATGAAGTAGATATTGCAGAGAGGAAGAATGGTGACATTGGAGCTTTTGTTCCCAATGAAGCTTGTGATCTGGGGGTTCAAGGCTCAAATTTATTCCTCAGCAGCTTTGAATTTATGATGCAGACACAATGGTGTTTGCAGCACACTGAAGGAAATAGCGATGCAGATGGATCGGTTGCATTTCTTCAAGTTTGGCGGGGAGATATACACTTTTGTTTCCTGGTATCATCCCATAATGGGGTCCGATTGGATTAACAGGGAATAATGGAAAAGTGCCTGTAGGGGCGGGCAATTCCAGATCTGTGTTTGGCTGCATTCTTTGCACCTCCCTGGGAAACATTTGATACTGGCCACGGTTGGAGAGAGGCCTGGTCTTCTATAGGAATGTCAATGCTCATGCGTTCAAAGGAGGAGTCTATAGCTCTGCTCCAGTATTTCAGAATAAAGCTCTTTTGCCCTTCAGTAAAATGTTGATGTGAAATGGCTAAATCTCCTTTCCCCCTTTCAGTGTCCTATTATGTCATTGAAGAGGCAGGATGCTTTGCAGCTTTTTTTCCTTTTGTGTCATCAGATCAAAACTTTGATTCGTAATAAATATTTATCTTTTCAGCACTGAGGCTCACAATAATTTGAAGAACAGTGTAGCAGACAGTGCAGTCTTCCTATCTTCAGCTCCAGCGATATCCAACTCTGATACAATGAGAGGAATTGGTAATACAGAGTGTATTGCACGTTAGGTTCCTGTAATACACCAATGCTCTGTGCCGGAATCTCCTTATGATGCGCATGAAATTCCTAATTGCTGCAGACCAGCTTGGAGAACAGGAATTCGTGTCTATGGGCAGAATGAACGGAATCGAGTGGGTTTGCAACCTCCTTGCCAAATTAATATTGGGCCATGGCATTTGACAAGGGAGTGCAGGTTGCCTGTGACCTGCAGACAAACATATCAAGGCAAAGAAAGAGAAGAAGGTGAATTTTATGGAGTTTTACTTGTGCAATGAAAGTGAACATCTGTGTAAATCTTTGCAGGAAAAGGCTCTTCGCAAAAACTGGAAAAGTGAGGAATAATTCCACCCCCCACCCTCCAGGCAAGTGGCCTGCATAATCCCAAGGACCCTCTCAGCACCTTTGTTCTCTAATTATTCCAAAGTTTCCAAAATTGCAATTTGAGAATTGCCCAGTGCTGCCTGCACAGATGAACCACAAGACTTGTATTGTGATGCAACGCAATTTTTAATGTGAATGAAATTTGCAAATACGCAATTACAGAAAACAATAATACAAAGCAGAAAGAACGTATCCTCCGTTCTTAATATGGGCTGCGAATAATCACACACACACTCCTGTTGCTTGGATACATATGAGGCAAGAAGTTCTTTTCCTTTTGTTATGGCTGCAAGGTTGGACAAACAATAAATAAATGCAACGGATGCTTTCATAAGGCCCCTGTTTCCTACACACTGTGGGGTTAGTAAAACACGAGTGAGTCCATATGTGACAAAGGGAATAAACACGTGGTGGGGAAGCACTGGCAGAAAGGGATCCTAGCAAGACATTAGACACGGATCCATAAGAGAAAGGGGCTGGGCAGATACAGCTCACGTGGAGCTCAGCTGGAGTCAGGCCGGCACGGCCCTTCTGAAATCGATATCGGGATCTATCAGTTGCTGTTCATTTCCTGGTCTTTCCTTTGGCCATAGAGTTTCCTGCCGTGTCTAACATGGTGAGCCGCATGCACTCAGGTACCGATGACAAGACACCCCGGTGCCACATGCTCCTCCATAACCGTAACCTCCCCTATAACCACAGAGTCCCCCATAACCTCCCCCATAACCACAGAGCCCCCCATAACCTCCCCCATAACCACAGAGCCCCCCATAACCTCCCCCATAACCACAGAGTCCCCCAAAGCCTCTCCCGTAACCATAACCACCTCCATAACCACAGAGACCCCCATAACCAAAACGTCCCCCATAACCACCGAAACCTCCCAAGCCGTAGTATCCCCCGTAAGGAGCTCCATAGCCGGAGAGTGCTCCCGCACCAAATGAGCCGCCATAGCCGGATCCCACCACAGGGGCTCCGACAGCTCCCACTTCACTCTGCTGAGGGAAGGTGCTCATAATGGGCCCTGGGATGGTCACGGCAATCGGTGAGGGTCTGATCACCACTTCGGAGTCAGGGCACTGCCTCACGCACGGCTCGTTGCAGGTGCCGGAAACTGGGCTGGGTCGGGCCACCCCGCATTCTGGATAGCAAGACATCTTTGTGTGATGGAAGTGAATCTGAAATAGAATAGAATGGAATAAAGGGAAGATGCAGGTGTTTGCTGAGGAATTGCCTCATAGCTCGGTTCTTATTCTTGAGAGATCTACCTGGGGCCTGAGAGAAAGCGGAAGAGTGGATTTCTTTGCAATGTTCGGTGGTATGTATTTGTTCCCAGTTCCTCTTTCTAGTCTTCTTATCCACTTACACTAAACTTTCCTCCCAAAGGGCCCCTTTGAAACCTTCTCACTGATTTTGTCTCAAATAAACAGCCTGGAAAGAGCGTAATTATTTAATTGATGGAAATCTGGAATTCTGTGTCTATTTCAAACATTTCTCTCAGGGTACGTCTACACTACGGAACAAAGTCGAATTAATTACGTTAATTGCATAGCTGAAGTCAAGGCACTGCCAACACTGCAGAAAGTGAAAGGGACTGCCCTTACTCCTCATGAAACCGAGACCAATGGCATCAACCAAAGCGCCCCTCTCCTTCCAATGAACTGTCTTAACCAGACCCTCTAATTCGAACCCTGGATGATCAACAGTGGAAGCTTCGATCTTCCTGTGTGGTATAGATGAATCCAAAGAGACTATAGCTAGGATTATGCTCATCTTATGCTTTGCTTTGAAGAGCCGACCTCGGCATGCAAACCAGTTTTGTCTCCTTTCATACTATGGCTCTTTGAATTTCCAACTCCTGGCAGTCACCAATGCTAGCTGATAACTGAAGAGAAAGTTTTCTTTTTCCCATAGAAATCACTAATGGCAATATTCTCAACTGGGCTAAAATGACTACAGTGGAGCACACCTCACTTATACCATCTGAGGAGAAGCATCTTCCATGGGGATACATGCTCATGAGAACAGAGGAATTCGTATATTATATCACAGTAGTCGGCAGCTTAAGAATTCCCCTAGCTCCAAAAGCAAGGTATACCAGCTGCTTTAGAAATATAGTAGGAGAGAGCTGAATTGGCTCTGTATGGACTAAGCTGGAAAAGTTTCTTCCCAATCTAGCTCGGTGAGAAATGGCTAAAGGACTTTCTATAGTTCCTTTAAAGGTTTAAAGGCCTTCATTTTTAGGCTAACCCCACTGATGCACCTTACACACTGCATCCCTGCCGTGATTGCACTGAGGCTCTGGGTGGTGCAATGAGAATGAATGCCAAGGTGATGCAAAACTGCATCAGGAGCACCATGGGCTCTCAGGAGCAGCAATTCAGTTTGGTCCTTCCACTTCATATTGGTCCTGTTGGGGACATTGGGCAGTTTGTTCCCAACTGGCTGGTGTGTGGGGAGCTATTTTGGAGCTTTCTTACACGTATCTGTTGGTCAGATCCAATTCCCTTGGAAATTCATCACTCTATTGCCTCCAGTTTATTTTCTGTCGGGACCTTAATTCTCTAATTTGCCTTCTGGCAGGAGGAAAGAACAACGTCACCGTCCATCTACATTCCCACATTAAACTATCTCGGAAACACAGACTGAAATTGAACAGGAACCTCTCTCATGACACTCTGCCCAGGAGAGAACTTCACCCGTTTCTGACCCAACTTGGCCTAACACTGGACCTCCACTTGTCTCACCAACACTATCTCAAAGGTCTGCCGGAAATTGATTTCCTCATGGATCCAGGGAAGGGATGGAGGCCTGGGACAGGAAGCAGAGCTCTTTGATAGAAAGCTTTTGAGTTAAGTCATGGAACGTTTACTCCATTGGAAACATTCTCTCTGTGACTGAGCTGACAAGAAGCTGAGGTCCTGTTATAAGACAATGCAGATGACTATGCTTTGGGAGAAGCACAGAAGAGGTGGAGATCTTGGATTCTTGCTGAAGGAGGAGATGGCTATGGTGTGAGAGAGGACATGAGTTCTGACCAGCTGTAGGGCACATCGTAGAAAACATTGCAGGAAAAATCTGAATGGGGTTTTAAATGTAATATCCATCCCTAAGAATCTCTTCTATCCTGAGAGAAAAGGCAGAAATGTTTTCCTTTCATTTTACGCCCTAAACAAGTGATTCACCCCGAAAGGCACCATATTTTTCTCTAAAAATATATTTTAAATATCAAATGAAAAATTGCATTGGAATGAAAATAAAATACTCTAAATTGTGGGACTTAGTGTTAAATTATTCTGGGATTAGATGTCTCTGCAATGAGTAATAGAGTCTTGTGTCTCTCCTTTAATTGGGTCATGACACAATTTCAAAGTATAGCCTCTTTACATGTGTAAAACACCCAGGAGTGTTCTGAGGTCCTTTGAAATCTTCATTTCGAAGAACACTTTATAATTTCCAGTCCTAACACCCTTAATATTCCTGTTTATTAGGCACATATGGGTGTGACTTGTATAACAGAAACACAACAATATTCCTGATTCCTCCTACCACAGCCTCAAAGTGATGTTCATCGCTGTTACGCCCTTATCAACAGCAAGATGAATAACATGCCTTGTTTAAAAAGTGTGCATCTAAGCACTAATGCTAAAAGCTGGCTAAAGTTTTCTCCAATTTAACTGTGTCTCCTTTAGATACAAAGACAATACTTTCCATAAGTATGGTAGCAATGTAAATCACAGCATCTAATTCTAGCATCCAAAACTTGCTTTGAAGCATGTCACCCATTGGGATGAAATCGCCCACTGCCCTGTGTGTGCAACGTTTTCTCTCCTTGGGAACATGTCTCTTTAATGGGTCGTAATGACCTGGTGGTGTGGAATTCCTTCATATTTGTGAAATGAGGTTATAATTGTCCCAAAGAATTCCAAGCGTCTGCATTTTTGAAGTTTGTTCATATGCAGTGCAGGAATAATACTCTCCAGATTTGATTCAAAGGCAAAACACTTGGCTACTATATCATTTAAATCTGCTGAAATGTAACTAGCCATCTGTATGTTGACATCTGCAACTAATCTATCACTTGCTGTCCATGGTTCACACTTACATCAGACAATGATTGGCTCAATGGTTCTCCCTAAATCATCAAACCAAAATAAGAAAATTAGATGTGCTCTCAGGAGAGGGACGTATTTCGAAGTGATGAAAGGTAATTGTCCAGTGAGATTCAGGAGAGGTTGGGGTTTTTTGATTTGCCAATCGCTCTCTGTGTGATCTTCACCTTAACATGCTTCTCTTAACCTCTGTGGTAAACTGTTGTAATTGTAACTTTCATGGTGGATTGTCTGGGGCAGGAGTTCCCAAACTTTTTGACACGGGGACCAGTAAATCCATTCATGAACTTTTGGAGGACCAGTAATGTTCATTTGCATATTCATTAATCCAATGATGACTATTCAAATAGTTGTTTCTGGTACTCCCAAATCTCCCAGTGCCAGCTTTAGCAAAGCTTTTGATATGGTCACCCACACTATTCTTGCCAGCAAGTTAAGGAATGTGGATTGGAGAAATGGGCTGTAAGACAGACAGAAAGCTGGTCAGACCAGGGTTTCCCAAACTTTTTACTTTAATTGGAACCTTTTTTTTCAGTTTTGCTTTTTGCAGCCCAAAAATATAAGCACATGAAAAACAAACTGAGAAAATACCAGACATGTAACATGTCTGGTATTTTCTCAGTAGGGAAGTTGTACTATTACTAGATGTATCAGTTTGTAGTTTCGAACTGCTTGGTTGGTAGATGTGCTCAGGCTGCATGAAGCAAAATGCAGGACAATGTAGCACTTTAAAGACTAACAAGATGGTTTATTAGATGATGAGCTTTCGTGGGCCAGACCCACTTCCTCAGATCAAATAGTGGAAGAAAGTAGTCACAACCATATATACCAAAGGATACAATAAAAAAAATGAACAAATATGAAAAGGACAAATCACATTGCAGAACAGGAGGGGGATGCGGGGGGGGGTGAATTGATGATATTAAAGGTAGGGAGAGTGGGATGTTTGTGAGTTAATGGTATTAGAGGTGATAATTGGGGAAACTATCTTGGTAATGGGTGAGAT